GAAAAAACTTCGATCGAAGTTATGGAGGACTTGCGAGAAGGACAGTTCTCAGAAACAGGACTCACGAGAAGGATTTTCTGTGGCCCAACCTTTAATGTTGATGACATCGATCATACAAACGAATAAATGTTGCAAAATTTCACCATCAACAATTTTGTTCCATTTTGAGTATTTCTTTGACGAGTTCGTTTTTGTTGTAGCAGCAGTGTCGGTATGAATTGTTTGTTCATCGCATATCTGTGCTTATCATTGCGGACAAGTTGTTTGCCGATTTCATTTCGGCAAACAACTTGTATACGCTCAACTTCTCACAAGCCATGTCAGACAAGTAAACCTAGCCAGTCAAAATGCAATAATTCCGTTTAAACGATCCCTTGCGATCGCAAATAGGTAACTAACAGTCCGCGACACCTTCGAGAGCACCAGCTCCGGCTTCCACAAATGATAATTACTTTGTGGAGGACTGAATGTAGCGAATAAATTGGAAAAACTTGTGCTTTATACGTGTACAAGGAATAAAACATACTGTAGCAGGCTAAAACTGGTGCCCAAAGTCGCTTGTGCTTGAGACGTCGACATCGCGACTGTCACCACATACAGTAGAGTAGACGTATCACTATCTCCAACTCTTCGACTAGATACAATAGATACCATGGATGCTGCCTCTTCAGCTTGACTGTAAAGTTTGATACCACAGGCGTGGGGCCTGCTTGGAACCATACACACACCGAAGAACTCGAAGGACATCCCGGGGGTGCTTCGTTTTGTCAAATCCTGGAGGATGTCTGACGTAGACGTCGCAGTCGATTTCCTCATGAGCACGACTTCCAGGACACATCACAGGAATACGATAACGCTGGAGCTGTCAATTTCTAAATTTGGACTTGAATTGCCTGACTTGGACTGTGGCCAGCCCTCTAGCTGGTCGATGGCAGACACAACCCGCGCCGTCGGCCTCCACAAAAGCGCCCATGTCCTGCCACGAGATGTCTTCAAGACGTTCGTGCGCCTCGAAACTAAAGTCGACTGGCGCGTGTCGGAAAACGAGGTTGCCCATCAGCTGAACCTCCCCCCCACCTACGTGGACCCAGTCGTGCCGTTGGCATCTCAGGTGCCCAAACTTCATGGATCGTTTGGCGTGGCAGCAGCAGAAGCCCCATTTCGATTCGACTAACGTGTACGTGCGTAGTTTGTCGGCCCAGGACCTGGCGAGTACGATGCCGTGCCTTCACCGGTGACTGGCCCAAACTCGAGCTCCCCCCTGACGTCGTCGTTTTCGACCAGGACGAGGCGGCAGCTCTTGTTTGAGCCGCAATTTGTCAAGCCACGTGAAACTTTCCGCGAGGGCCCTTTCAGCCAGTCGACCCCCACGTTGCCCCGCCCTTTGCCAATGGTCGATTCCCACCTAGTCCATCACCGCACTGCGCCGCCACCGAAGCTGCATCGACGGAAGAATGCGCTACGACAGCCCATTCCCCGCCTCACTCAACTGCTATCGTCCACCAAACCCAGTGTCGATCCTGCTATCATTTCGTACACGTTCCCTCGCGGCCACCGCACAGACTTCGTCGCGTACTCTACCCCCGCCAACGTGAGCGCGGCGACATATGACCCTCGGCCAGATTGGGCCGAAGAAGCAGAACCACCACGTGTGGTCGTCGGGTTTCGGTCATCGGTTGCCCGTATGCCGGACTGGATGGCAAACCCAGACGTGTTGGCACCAGCAGATAGGTACCGCAAGTGCGTCGTCGTGGTTCGTCCAGCTGTCCCTGGTCTTGCTGCAAGTCATGGATTTTTTGGGTGGTAGGAGCGACGCAAAGTGTTCGACACTGCACCACGTGACAATACCGACAAGAAAGATGGAAGTCACGGCGAAATTGGTTTGGACGACCTTCGAGGGCAACCACGACCACATTTTGATCCGTTTGAATGGCTGAGAAGCCAGCCCGACGGACCAGAGAAGGTGAGAGCGCTGACAATGCGCCTTGTCGAGCTCACGGCCACCGACTCGTCGCCACCGACGAATCGTCAACACCATGCCGATGGAACGGTGCCAGCTACACGTGATGACGACGGAGACACAGATTCGTCTGCGGAAGATGGTCGTGCGAATCCCATCGCCATCACCATCGTCCTTCCCGCAGGGCTCACGCTCACATACCGGGTGTTGGCTACACGTACGGTCGCGAGCCTCAAGAACGCCATTGCAAAGAAACTCTCGACCACACGAACGCGCGAGACGAGGCTCGTGCCGGACGGGATCGTCGTGCCAGCAATGTTGAGTTTGTACTTGCAAGGACAAAAGCTCGCCGACTCGAATGCCCTCGGTGACAGCGGTGTGCACGACCGGTCTAGTCTCGTATGCACGATCCACACTCGACAGAGTTCCCCCGTTAGAAGAGTGAGTACAAATTCGAGTCGAGTGGTCGCCACCTCCCGCCCTGGCGAAAGTAGACAAGCGTAACCGCCTGAATCTCACGGTCGGTTTCAAGTGAGTGAAACGGCTAGTGTGGCTCGCCGCGGAATGCCGCCGATCGACGTGGAAGGGCGACGCCTGGCGACCTTCTATGTCCTGCACCACATGCACAACGCAACGCATGTGCAGATCCCTGAGACGGCCTTCATTGACGACGAAGGCGTGATGGTGGACTGGTACTTTGTCATGCAAGCGGAGCAGGTACCTGTCGTCTTCGACTCGTGTGTCCACGTGTCGAACCGACGCGGACTCGTTAGGTGGTGCGGAAAAAGAAGAAAATCCAGCACACCAACGTCATGTTGTTCGAGTTGCGTTTGCAGGAACTCGCGGCGACGCGACACGCAAGTGACATCGCCGTGCACTGGGACGACTCGATCAACGTCTTGAACGAAGCGGCGCTTGACGCGCTCGTGCGAACGCTGTGCGTGCGCGAGTCCAACATGCTCGCGTTGAACCCCACTCTGAGCATCTCTCGCCAATATGGAGCCGGGCGATTCTGCCTCCAGGAGTTGCAGCCCCCCCGTGGGAACCTGCGGTATGTCACGCGCTTTGCGTCGCAGCCCAAGACTGTTGGCGTGATTCAAACACACTACACACGTTCGCTGGAGGTCAGTCACATCAGCCAAGACCAAGCACCCCCCGACGTAAGGACCACTGCGGAAAGGGCATTTGAATCAACTGGGGCGTTAGATCGAAGCGATCCTTCGACAGAGCGTGATGCAAGTCGTCGAGCACCTGCGCACCCAGCGAGATGTCATGGTGGACACGATGACGCTCGAGTGGGTGTTCGCAACGCCGCCGGGCAGCCGACGGGATGTGCCGTGTTTGATCGGCGCCCAACACATACGAGGGATGGACGCGACCCCCGACAACCCCAAAACCGAGCCGTTTACAAAACTCAAGCGCGAGTTGGAGGACCTGCGCCTGCCTACGAAAGTAGACGGTCCAACGGCAGTGCATCCCCGACAGGTGTGCATGGTGATCCTAACGATACATGGCACGCTCGACGGAGCGCTCGAGTAGAATGTGTGCCGACATTGCCGTGATCCGCGCGAAGTTGAGTTGAGCAAGGAGCTTGTGAAAACACAGACATCGCTGCGGCAGGCGCTGACCCAAGTAAGAGCGCACATGATGTACGGACACGACGGCGCTGGAGTTGACATCATGGATGGCGTAGCTGCAGCATGCCCAAGAGCAACTCGAGGCCAGTCGCGCGGAAACGACCGCTTTCCAGAAGAAGGCGGCCGTACGTTTGAGCTGCATCGATGGGCGGTGACTCCACCTGTCGTTGCGTAGGACTTGGACGTGACTGTGCATGAGCTCCACAACCAGCTCAAGGTAGCTCCGTCGTTCCGAATGTTGAATGGCTGCCGTAACATCTTCGAAACACTTGTAGCGGGAGGGTTCCCATGCCAAGGCGACAATTCAGGCGTTGCAGCACCAGCTAGAAGCTCAGACATTGCTCATTCAAGACTCGCAGGACAGCATCGCGCAAGCCCACCTCGCCACGACCGACATGGCTGCTGCGCTAGCTGACGTGAGCGATTCCGTCGCCACGTGCAGGACGCTGACAAGAGTTGTTGATGCGCCAGGCACAGCGACAGCTTGCGGAAGCCCGTGTGGAGGCCCAGGCCCAAGTCGTCGCGCTGCAGAACGAAGTAGTATGTGGCTCTTTCATGGACGTAAGCATGGCAGTTGATTGACCCGTTCGAGTAGAAGCACCAAGACGACGCCGTTCGCAACGACCGAGAAACCCTATGTACTTGTTTCATGGGGCTGTCATAGCATGTTAACGTGTCTGTGGCTAGCTCCACCAAGCAAACGCGCGGCTCCGAAAAAGAGACATGGAACACGACGAGGCTCGATATCTGCATGACGTTGGACTGTCGCCGACAAAACGCAACGAACCTGCCGCAGCGCTCGGGATTCAGGTCGCAGCATCCCAGAGCGACGGCCGCCAACGTTGACGGAAGCGAGTCGTTTCTGAGCCATCCATGCTCTCGTTCATGTACTAGGAGAAGCGACTGGGAAAGACCAACACATCGTGGACGCTGCACCGTCGAACGAGCCGCACACATGTAAATTGTACATACAACTGCTTCCTTTCGCAACAATCCAGGCAAAGCTATTCAAAGAGACGTTGTGATGGTGGCTTCCGGGTGCCGTCGATTCGAATGCAGCGAGCCGTCCCGACCGACGAGATGCTTCAACACGACGCAATTCGACACAAGTACATGCTTAGATGTCGAGCCTGGGACGTCCAGACAAACTTAGTCGACTGTGACGGCCTTGGCCAAATTACGCGGGACGTCCGGGTTAATGCCACGCTTCACAGCGAGTTCGTACGCAATCAGTTGGAGAGGAATGCTCGCCAAGAGCGCGGTCATCGGGCCGTTGTTCGGGATCGGGATGATCGCGTCCGCAATGCCTTGGCACATGGCCGGATTGTCTGTGATGACAATCGTGTACGCGCCGCGGGCGCGGACTTCTTCCGCCGCCGTCTTCATGAGGTGGCCATGTTCGTCGTCCAACACGACAAGAATGATAGGAGTCGAGCCAAACTGACCTTCCTTGTCTTCAATCAACGCGAACGGGCCGTGCTTGAGCGCCCCGCCAGAGTACCCCTCCGCATGCAAGTACGTAATCTCCTTGATCTTCAACGCGCCTTCGTACGCAATCGGTTCGCCGTAGCCTTTGCCCAGCACGAACAAGTGTTCGCTCGGCAAGAGCTTCTGCGCCACCTCGACGCATTGCGCGCGGGTGCGGAGGGCCATACCAATCGTGATGGGAAGGCGGTGAAGCGACTGAATCAGCTCATCCAACTTGGATCGGTTCACCGCTGACTCGGGTCGGTTCTGCGCAAACCAGGCCGCAATCAAGCCCATGACAGTGACTTGGGTCACAAACGCCTTGGTCGAAGCAACAGCGTTTTCACGGCCCGCATTCAAGTACACGCCGCACTTGGTCGTGCGCGCAATGAGAGACCCGACGGCGTTGACGACGGAGAACATGGGCATTTCCTGCGCACCTTGCAACTGGAGCACGCGGTGGACGTCCTTGGTCTCGCCCGACTGAGATACAACCAACAGACCGCCGTCGTGACGTGGCAACCGTTCGTTTGTGCACTCACCGGCATCTTCTGTTGATACCGAGTCAAAAGCCCCCAGTGTTCGCATGATCTTGGCACCGTACTTCCCAGCGTTCAGCGACGTGCCGCAGGCGGAAATCAGCAAGTGCTTGATCTTGAGCATCTTTTCCTTCTCTGCTTCCAATCCACCGAGGTACACGTGGTCATCTGAAACGCGGCCGCCGTACCCGAGCGACGACGCGACGGCTTTGGGCTGCTCCATGATTTCACGGATTGTCCAGTGCGGGAACGGTGCTGGAGACAAGCGGACCTGCGTCGTCACGGTCGAATCAAGGCTGAAGTGTTCAAGGGCAGACGCCTACCTTGACATCAGGAGCCGTGCCCAAACGACTGGTGGGGAAGCGTTGCAACGTGGTGAGGTCGTCGGGGTGCTGAGGGTTCAATTCGGCAGTATCTGCCTTCACGACGGCCACTTCACCGTCTTGAAGCGACAAGAAACGCTTTGTGTGGCGCGTGAATGCCGTCGTCTCGGACGCAATATACATCGAGTTCGAGCCATACCCAATGCACAAAGGCGACCCGTTGCGAGCAACGATGACTTTGCCCGGCTCGTCACGCGCCATGACGCAAATGCCCCATGTTCCTTCCAGACGACCCAAAGCCAAGCGGGTAGCAGTCAAGCAGTCCGCGCCTACGAAGTCGTGGTGAAAATGCAGTGTCAGTGAATTCTCGGACCTTCGCTCATGATTTGACCAATGAGTTGGGCAATGACTTCTGTGTCAGTCTGGGACGAAAACTGCACACCAGCTTCAAGCAATTCGTTCTTGAGCTCGTTGTAGTTGGTGATCGTGCCGTTGTGTACGACAGCCACACGTTTGTTCTGGTCCATGTGCGGGTGGGAGTTTTCGTCCGTCTTGCCGCCGTGCGTAGCCCAGCGAGTGTGCGCAATACCGACTGTGTTGTTTGCATGTTGGTCCTTGGTTTCACGCAACAGGTTGATCGAGTCGGCTGTGCCTTGCACCGACGCAAACTTGGTCACCGTAATGGGCGCGCTCCCATCATGCTTGGTCGTCGCCATGCCCGCGGAATCGTACCCGCGGTTCTGCAGAATCGTCAAACCTTCAAGCAAAAAATTGTTGGCATCTTGGTGCTTGCTCACGACACCCACAATGCCACAGTTGTCGGTTTGGGTCATGGATGCACCTCCCGCAAGGAGAAGAGCAGCGGCGCCAAGGCCATAACCCACCCAGGCATTGTCATCGGTGGCGGCCTTGGACGAGAAGGCACGCGTCGCCATGGTCGGCAAGAAGGACGAAGCCGGCTGGCGGAGAAGAGATGGGGGCGCTCGAGAGCGGAGGAGTCGACCGACGTGGAACATGATGGGTCAGCGGCAAAACGAACACTGGTGGGGAGGGAAATATGGGCCGTAACGTCTTTGAAGATATGCTCCGGATACAGGAATTTCGTATCCGATTTTTTCTGCTGGAATAAAATTTGGTGGGATGACGATGTACAGTTCGCTGGAATAAAATAAATGAGAATCTCAGGAATTAAGACAGCTGTGACGGTGGCGCCACAGAGGCGTGCCATTGCATGGATGGGACAAACATCCGGTTAAGTGTGATCTTTTGGATACAATTGGGGTGACATACGACTTTGCCTATATTTTCCTCTTATGCTTATGGAATATTGCTTCTGCAAGTTCTTCCGTTAGAAATTAAAACTAGTTCAATTGCATTTGTAAGTATATCAGTCACATGTTACATTTAAAGGAGTTTTATACAAAGTAGAAGATATGAAGACGTACTTGACAGGACAGTAGTGACGATGAAAAACACGGAGGATTTTCCCCAGTTGAGATTCCTCCCACGGAAATCCGTCGACCTGCAGACACTTCCACGTGGCAGATCACCACAGCATTCGCCATTGTTCCCAGGGTATCAGTCACACGCTTGCTGGTGAATTCATTCCGTGATGCTACGTGGCGGCGATGAGAGGCTGTTTGCCCATCCAGGAGAAGATTCTGTGGCATGGGCAGGCCCTCCATGACATACGGTCTGGAGTATGAGGTTCACGTGCCGGTGCAACGTGGCTGGACGAAGTGGATATAAGGTTGGCACCACGTATTCAACAGTCGCGACTCGCATGAGCGCGGCGGTACATGCAAAGGATGCTGTGCGTATCGAAAGGCTGTCTCTTTGGACGTGGTAAAAACTACTATCAGGGAGTCGCTCCATATTTTCGCAGGAACAATTGAATGTCAAAGCGTCCACCCACCACGTTCTATTCGACTACTCTTTCGAGAGCAATGGAACGACTATCCGACACAGGATGCTTCCGTCCCAATTCTCTTGATCTGGCTGTACATGGTCCTGGAATGAGATGATAATATTGCATAGGACTCATGGAAGATGAGGTCTGGAATTGTGTGCCAGTGCGTCTGTCAAAGAAGAGTCCACTCGAGGACATAAAACTCCAATAGATAGTTGTTAAATCGAAGACAGTGCGTTGCTGCCATCTCGAAATCCTCCGTGCCGCTTGCATAAACCACGGGACTGCGATGAATTCTTGCATCCCTCGACACCACATCGACGCCCTAGAGGTCCAGCAACGTTAGAGAAGAGTAGACGATAGTTGGGGCATTGCGTACCGCCTCCGTGCTTGATACACAGTCCGCCACCTTGGTCACTTCGCGGACAGTCAAAGACACTACACCGCTTGCCACCACCATGCCGCTTGCATAAGCCCTTTGAACGGGCGCCTTTGGTACATTCGGGGTATGTGCATACGAACAAATCTCCCACTTTTGCTCGCGATATTGACGTTTTGTTGCGGTCATGTGCAGGTGTTTCATCCGCCCACTCCTTGAAGTGGGTCGTGCACAAACCCTTGGTGACGTTTGTGGCGGCTTTCGTGCACCCCGTGACTTGGCAAAACACGAACACTGGAGAGCGTTTGCCTGATCGCCGCCTCGACCTTTCATGGACGCTCGTGTCATCCATCGGGATCTGCGATGTCCTGCCTTGTGTTGGCGAACTCACATGCTGTTTTTCCATCGAGCCATCCGTGGTACTCACCTCCCATGATGGACTTGGTAACGTATGATAGTCTTGTGCCGATGGAAGATATGCTGATGGTCCCTTATCGCTAGCAAACCGTTGCTCGGCCATGATAGTATGCCCGGTCGCGCCTGGCGAATGAAATTGAGCTGCATGGGGTAGAGTTGATGCGTATCCGTCGAGGGCAGTGTTCTTCAGGATAAGCATGCTCAGAGCCACAGTGTGCACATCATGCGAATCCGCTTTAAATTCCATAACGCAAGAAGGCTTGGTGTGGGGTTGGTCGACCTTCACAGCATCTTCCAACGGCGCGATGTTCGCTGGTGCGCCACTCATGCTCTCCCGCGAAAGTGAATGGTTGTATCTTTCTTCGCAGAAAGTACAAACCGTACGTACTTTTCGTACAATAGCGTACAAACTTCCTTTTACATTGCAATTTAGACCAAATTGTACAAACACAATTGTATTTATACGTACAAGTCCTCCTTTGTACGCTTTATCTTTGAGTTTGTATTTAATACCAACATGAAGGCGTTTGGCGGCGATGTCCTTTTTCTGCTGTGAAACCTGCGACGAGGTTGTTTGGATCAACACCGTTTTTTCATTCACACGATGGCAATTCGAAGCACGGGGCTTGGATTGGTGAAGCATACACTGCCACAACATTGTTGCCTGTTGTGGTATCGGAGTATTTTGACGATTGTGAACACGCTGAGGATACACCAAGGGTCATGGAGGAAAACAACGGAGATACCCGTGCAGTCTAGCCGTGCACTACGAATGATTGTATCGTGAAGTGCGAGAGTCATTGTAGAGACGAGCCTCCCAGTGATCTTGCTATGCGCGTGTGGGTATTCTTACGACCTCCTGTTGAATCAACCCTGGACCGTCGAATGTGGAGACGACATACCCCCGTGAGTCTTGCACAATCCACGAGACTGTGAAGAATTCTTGCACCCATCAACACAACAACGTTTTCCTAGGAATGCACAAGTAGCTGTGGGTCTCAACATTGCACATACCACCCCCGTGCTTGATGCAATATCCTCCACCTTGATCGCTTCGGGCACAGTTGGGGATAGAACACCTTTTTCCACCTCCATGGCGCTTGCATAAACCCTTTGACCGAGATGACTTGTCACAGCCAGGCATTTGACAGGGCTTGATGAATGTGCCAGGTCGTTTCTTTACACTAGATTTGCTTTGTTTGATCATTGAGCTCATGCTTGAAATTCCTTTGGCTGTGCCAGCGCGACTTTTCATTCTTTTGATAGGAGGTGTAGGTTCAATATCATCGTCTTGGAGCTTGATTGACAATATTGATGTAAATAATGCACGCTGATCAGAGCTCCGATATCCATACGTGATCGTGGGACTCATGCGTTTGCTTTAATTTTGCCTTTCGAAACAGCGGGGTCCGTTGTGGTGCAATCGACAATTGATCCACATATGTTGGATGCAATGCGCTTGGATTAGCATCCGACATGGAATCCTATTGATGCTTTCGGCTCAAATAATGCAATTTGTTGAAGTACCTTCACTTGATCGCCATACAAAAGGACGCTATCGTCTCCCTGATGGTTGGGTTCTGTATGAGCGGGGACCAGCAAAGTGCTCATTTCCTGACTGTTTGCAATATCTCGCTGCGATAGCCTTGTCATGTAGAGGCATTGGCTCGAAAATACATCGTTGTAGCACAGCTGTAAGCCGAGAGTCTTGTCTTGGCTGCCATCTTCTTGGTCAAGAGGAATGCCAATAACATAGTCCTTGTCATACGAAATATTCGATACGTCTGCAAGTTGGCCCATGTCGTCCCACACGTCAACCCATGATGAAGGTAAGTTGTCTCCTTTGTACGCTGAAAATGGCGATAGATTTCCTGTGCTTGATGGCAATGAGCAGTGCATCTCCTCTTCTATCCACGACGCTTCAAATTCAAATATGGGATTTCGCGCGCTTTCCAGTGATCCGGATACAGAAAGGGCATGGATTCCACTTTTCCATCCCATCCGGAAAATATACCGTTTCGTATTGTCAAGCGGAAACCGTCAAACCGCTCTGGCGTCGCGGCGGATGGTGCGTCTTGCAGCATGGGTGTGCTCTATCGTCGGGGCTCTACTGGGATCGTACATGGTCGAAGCTGAGACGTTATTTGGCCTTAGTGGTGGGTATTCCTCGATCATGCAACCGTACGAAGTGACATGCACGACGGGGATCTGTGGGACTCTAAATGTCGTGCTCTCCATCACCCGAACGCCCTCTGCAGCGATGGTTAACCTCGACACTGTCATGGTGTCGACTCGTCCATACATCATTTCCTCGCTCTCTGCAAATGCCACCATAGATTACACTCCGCTGTCAAACTATCTTGTCGTGTTCAACCCTGGTGACAGCATCAAGACGATTACCGTTGCCGTCCTCACATCCGGTGTGTATGCCCAAACGTCCTACTTTGAAGTGTACTTGAGTACACCCTCCGCGGGTACGTCCATCGATTCGGCGCGTGCGAACTCGTTTGTGGCCATTCTTGGATCTGTTGGTTCATTTTCCTTTGCAAGCAACAACTTCACGTTCTTGGAGACCGAAGGGACTGTTCAAATCCCAATTGTTCGAACCGGGGGTGTTTCCGGGGCTGTGACGTTGCAATACGTTCTGGAGGACCCAGAGCTGACGACGGCGATTATGGGAACCAACTTTGTACTTGACAGTCCTGTCGTTGAATTTGCCGACGGGCAAACAATGGCCAACTTGACTGTCAACATCGTCCATACACCGGCGTACGAGTACTATAGCATGTTCTTTGTGCTCGAGTTGATGCCTCCCGCCGATCGGGGACAGCTCGGTAATGTCTCCTTGTCTCGAATTATCATTGCGGATGCGGGGGATGCCGGAATCTTTGAATTCTCAACTCCGTCCATCATTTGCCGCGAAGACAACGGAACGGCCACCGTTTGGATCAATCGTACTGTGGGCATGTCGACGTCGGCGGTGGCCCCAGTCACGCTGACGGTGGAAACAGTTGCGGGCGGCAATGCAACTGAAGGAAGCAGCCGGGCATACGACTACCAACACGCGAGTCAAATCATGAGTTGGGCAGACGGCGAGACAGCCAAGAGCTTCAGCGTGACGATTTTCAACAATGCAGACTACGAACCAAAGCTCAAAAGTGTTTGGATCCAGCTCACGGCTGTGTCAGGCGGGGCCATGATCGCCGCCTCTCGCAACATGACCGTCGTGTATATCGTCGATGATCGCGATGCCGGTACTCTGAGCTTCACTACATCCAACTATTCTGTGTCCGAAGACGCGGCGACCGTGACTCTGTCGTTGCTGCGCACAGGAGCGTTCGACCCTGACGGTGAGTCACCTGTTTCGGCAATTATGACGGTGGTGCCGAAATCAAGAGGAAAATAGGCATCAATACGTACACGAGCGGCAGCGTCACCGTCGACGTATTGACGTACAGTGGCGTAGTCATGCCCGGCTTGTCGCTCACCGAGGACGGGTTCGACTACGGCGTTGTGACGGACCTGCGATGCACCCACGTGAGTCCGTGCACGGCAGTGGCAGGCCAGCACTACACGGCCATGCCCGTGACTACGTTGACGTTTGCAAGTGGCGAGGCGTCCAAGTCCATCAACATTCCGATCGTACGTTGTTTCGATACAATGCGTGGTTGATTACCATTGAATTAGCACAACAACGACCTCTACGAAGCGCCAAATCGCGTGTTTAAAGTTCTGTTGCGCAATGTCCAAGGTGGTGCACACATTGGTCTGGACTACGAGCACCCCGCAGAATGGAATCCGAGTTTGCTAGAATTGGATCGCATGCCACAGCTCGTGCCAAACTTTATCAGCGCCATTGTAACGATAGAAGACGATGGCGACCCCGCCGTTCTCATCACGAAAGCCAGTCTGTCCACGTCCGAGCTTGGCCAAACTGACACGTACTCGATCAAGCTGAATTCGATCCCCACTTCCCCCGTCGCCGTCTCCCTCAGCGTACACAACCCCCAAGTAACAGTGTCGTCCTCGCAAGTCGTTTTCACACCTTCCAACTGGAACGTACCCCAAAGCATTTGCGTCTCGGCAACTGATGACAGCGTTGCCCAAAGCATCCACGTCGTGCACGTCACCCACGCCACGGCAAGTACAGACCCTCGGTACAACGGCGGGGTGCGTCAAACATTAGCCGACTCGGGGGTCGTGTATGGTCGCAAGGTGTACACGGAGACGCTTGGAGATTACGAGCAAGGCAACGACCAACATGCATTTGAGTGGGATGCTTCGGAATTTGGAGTCCTATCTGCCCCCGCGTCGCCCATCCTGAACGTATTTGTGCTCGACAACGATTTTGCGTCAATTCTGGTCATTCCTGAGCAGGTTGTTGTGCGCAGTTCCAACCACCGCGTTCTCAATGTTGGCTTTGGTAGAATCGCCACACGACAATGGGGCCATCCAACTTTGTCTGCGCCAGGAAGAACGGTCACGTAGCGGCTGTGACCCTCGCGTTGTCGAGCAAACCGGCAGCAACTGTGACATTGTCGCTCGTACCCACGAGTCCGGATGTTGAGGTGACCCCCCTCACTGTGACGCTGACCCCAGGGACGTGGCGCTCGGGTGTTGTTGTCGCGGTCACATATTCTGGCTCGGTGATGACCACAAGCCGAGTCGACATATCGAGCGCAAGTGCAGACTCGTTCTATGCTGCCAAGACGTCATCGTTCTTCGTCGAGGGCTTTCCAGGTGCAGGCGTCGTCCTGAACAAAGCGACGGAAACGTATCATGAAAATGGAACGGATGCGTTCGTGGATTACGATGTGACGATCGTCGCCGAGCCCATGCACTGGGAAGTCGGAAATGCCTCCGCCGCCGTTCCGTACACGCACAACGTTGGTCCAGTACATGACGTCAGCGCCGTCAAGTCATCCGCAACAATATCGTTGGTCAATGGCCCAGTCCTGTTTGCTGCCACCAACAGTTCCGAAAGTACAACTTCGTCCAGTGTGCAAAAAGTGGCGTTTTTGCGATTTCCCCGTGGGCGTGACGTGGTTGACCGCACGGGAAGTCCTCGCGTGGGCCTGGCACTGCTGCGACTGTATCGTCTGGGTGGGGGCGACAACCGTGGCCTTGGAGGTGTCCAAGTCGGCGTCTTTCGTCCCCCCACTCCGTCTGCGTGGAACGAAACGTCTTGTGATGCGGAATGCGTTGCCACTCTCCTCCCCGCGACAAACCCGTTTGGCTTTGTCCTTCCGACCGCGCTTTCTGGAACAAGCAACATCGTGCCCGAGGGCTTGTTCAATGCGTCCCAAAATACTTACGTCACATCCCCGGGGTGGGTCGACATTGATGTGACTGCCGCGTGGAACACGAACGCTACCGACCTCACAGACATCACTTTTGCCGTGCTGGCGCTCCGCAACACGCCATTTATCTACGACAACGTGGACGAGATGGAATTTGCCTCCAGCGACCACCCAAACGAATCGTTGAGACCGTACGTTCAACTCACTGCCTCCGGTTTCGTGAATGTCGCGCGAAGTGGAGCAGCGTCGCAGAGCTCTGGGAGTGTCAATGCTTCCCAAGTTCTCGACGTTGGCTCAACTCTCTTGGAGCGGGATGCGTGGTGGATGGTCCACTGGAAGGACGTTCGCTTTATTGAGTCGATCGTCCTCAGCGCGGTTGTTCCAGTACCGCAATCGTCGACCATTTCGCTATCTTTGGTCCACGATGGCACCTCCGTCGCAAACACATCGATGTCTCTTGTGACAACGAGCCCCTTCGAGCCCGTTCAATGGACATGGCATGTTCATGGCCAACGCGGTGCCGTCGATCCGTTTTCATCATTTCTTCCCAACCTCACAGCCCCGGTCGAAGCCACGACGTTTCGTATCGACTCTCACGCTTCCTCTTTGACACTGTTGTCAGTTCAGGTGTTTCAAATCCCGATGGCAGCCTCCAGAGTCGTCATCGGGGGCTACCTCCCTTCCCCCAGCACCCTTCTTCCTGGTCTGAACGAGCTGCACATGACTGCAGACGACCCGATCGTCGCCGACCACCGCCCGTGCACATCATCCGACATTTGCCGCAACGAGCTACTCTTTACGTCGGGACAGTGGCAGGATCCACAAACCGTCCATGTCTCCGTGCTCAACAACGACGTTGCCACAGGACCGCGAGTCGTGGGAATCTCCCACATGTCGTTGAGCAGCGACGTGGACTACGATAGCCCCCAAGTAGGTTTCTGTACCACAAGTGCGTGCACGTCATCGTTGCAGACGACGTTATCGCTCTCCATTCTCGACGACGACAAAGCTGGAGTTGTTGTTTCTACAGCTAGCGTTCAGTTGATCGAAGGCGCGTCGGTGTTTCCCGGAGCTCCGGTCCCGATTACCATCGAGCAGTGGCATGTGTCGAATGGCACGATCTGTAGCTGGAATGCGCAGACCCGAGAGAGCACGTCGTGCAGAGGCGTTTTCAGCGGAGCTCCTTTTACGGTTTGTCTCGCGCCGTCGTCCCCGTTGTTCTCGAATGGATCGGCATGGATATTCTTGCCGCTGGAGCAACCGCAGCCCACGTTCCAGTTGCGAGAAGTGCGCCTCGAACTGCTGTCGGGTTCTGTCCGAGTACCCAAGACGGTGAGCCTGTGGACAAGCGGCACGTCAACTCGCGATGTGTCGATGTGGACGCTGTTGGCCCGCCAAGCGATCCCGTTTGGAAAAACGTCCATTCGGTTTGCAGATTTTGCCACCGTGGTCTTGCCTTTCCTTGCTGTACACATCGAAGCGTCATATGACGTGGCGACCAACTGCACCGACATATCGTCGATTCAACTGTGGGGCGATGTCCGCCGCCGCGATGTCTCTGCGGTGTACGAAACCCGCCTCTCCAAGACACACCAAAATGGAGAAAGCGCGTCCATCGCAGTGCGATTGCTGAGCGAGCCCCTTGCCGAAGTGATCGTGTTCCCGATCACAACGTCGCCCGACCTCGTCGAGTATGACAGTCGAAACCTGTCTCAAAACGCTGCCTCCCTTCGACAAGTCGTGGGCAATGTCTACAGCTACGCTTCGTACAGCGCGATTCTTCCCACCGCGTTGCACTTTAACGCCTCGTACGAACCCCCGCACTCCATCAACCCTTCACGTTGTGTTGTAACTAGGACTTGGAACGTAACACAGTACCTTGTCCTCGCTGCCGTCGACGACAATGTCCACGTTGGGAATCGCACGAGTGCGTGCATCTACACAACGTCGAGCGCCGACGCCACGGCTTCGTTCCAACAGTCCACAGTGTCTTTGTCAGTCTCGATCCTTGACACGTCTGCGCTCCCCCTAGCACATCAGTACAACTCGACGTCGTTTGTCGTATCTGACTCAATTGCACGCGATCCGTCCTGGCCATATCACGTCATCTCATCACAAACGTCGCAGGGGTCTATCGTCGTAACAGCGGCGATTACCGAAGACGACATGCCCGGGATCACGGTCACGCCGTCGCCACTCGAAGTGGTCGAAAACAGCGCGCAACCGTTCAACTTTTCCGTCGTGTTGGACTCGCAACCCACGGCCACGTTAACCCTCGAGATGTCGGTCGGGTTGTTGCTTCCGTCGGCCCAAGCGAACCTGGTGTCGCTGCAGCCAACGTCGCTGACGTTCTCCCCTGCTACGTGGTATGTTCGCCAATACGTGTACGTGTCGGTGCCGTACAAGGCCGGCTTCGAAGGCAACGAATCGTCAACTGTGCGCTACGCCCCGACTGTGCCAAAGAAACAGTCGGAGTTGATCGTCGAGTTCACCGCGACAACCGGAGACGTCACGTACCACGGACTCCATGTTGGCACGAACGATCGGATGTCCGTGGCGTGCCGTGCCAACGGGATCCCGCTCATTGTCGACGACATTGACACGGGCTGCAAAGAAGGGTTCGAATACACGTGCGCCAACGACCAGCCGTGCGCACGAAGCCCCGTGTTTGGAGATCGATGCAACGTATGTTCTGCATGACGTCCCGTGTAGCCATCGTCTCAATGTGCATGTCTAGTGTTCGAACATATACGGCATGCGCGATTGCGCTGGAGTATGTGCAAGCGACTCGGAATGCTCGTTCAGTCGACTTGATATCGTCGTGTCGTGCCTGCTGCCGTCCACTTTTCCTGGCGCCTCTCTCGCGGCGTGTACGGCTCCTGCATCGTTTGTTCCGTTCAACTTTGTCACCGCCGTGCATTCGATCCTTGTGTCGCTCGAATTCACGGCCACGGACGGGACGACGTACGCCAAGATGGCTTCCCGCACTGGGTTTGACACCAGTCTGTACATTGTTCGGGCCGACCCGATTCTCCACCCGGAATCTGGTGTTCCGTCGATGCTGGTCACTGTGGATGTGGCGGATGCAGGGCCGACCTTTGTGGCCGCCGCCAAGTTGCAAGCACTGTTCAAGGACGGATTCATGGCTCAAGCTCCGCTATTCGTCACATCGCTCCATCGCGTGGCTGTGATGCCGCGCACTGCGAGCGCGTCGATTGTGTTGTGGGTATTTGTCGGGCTCATGTCGGTCGGTGTCGTGGCAGGGGCAGCGTTCATCGTTCGCCAACGCAACGTGAAGCTGCCCCATCCGCTCATGGTGGCTCCACAAGACGGGCACGACCCGCGGGACCTCATCCATGACACGATGCCCCTGACAAGGTGACCATCGTCGCCTCCGCCATATCGCGTACGTTCACTGCGATCTGTTGTAAGCATATCGAACACAACAAAGACGAGGACAATTCTATTCTATATCTGCCAGGAGCTCTTCGACCAGTGTGACAAAGTGAGGAGAAATTTGCTCGATCTCGCGCTCGGACGCGCTCGGCGCATGCACCTTCAAAAGCGCAGAAATCGCCCCGTCCGGCCGCGAAATCGACAGCTCGACAAAAAAGAGCCACTTGACGTGCACCTAGTACACACTCCAGTGAGGCTTCGCCGGAGGGGACGTCTTTCTTACCAATTCCGCGTAAAAGAAAAACTTGTCCATCGATTCCATCGACCCACTCGCCAAACAAAACAAGTGTTTCGATTGAAACTGGGCGATCACGCTGTCCATCCCGATCAACTCGCGCCCGTCAGGGTCTTCCAGCTCGGAACTACACCAAACAACTCCATGAACACACGTCGACGAGAGGCATCGTACATGGGAATGGCGCCGAGATAGAGCGCTTCAAACGAGGCAGGGTCGAGGCCAGGGTACGGCAGCAACGACGCGACAAACGATGGGGATTCTTCCACCACGGCCGCGGCTGACAGCGGCGCAGTCGTCGCAGCGCTTGACCTGCGCAGCAACGCGGCCAAGCGCGGGTGGTTGACCTCGTAGCAAGGGGCGAGACACTCTTTGAACAACTTGATAAATAACAGATGCCCGTCGTCGTAGAGCAGCCCGAGCTCAATCCACTTGAACGTTGCCGACATCTCGCCAACGCTCTCGATCACTTGAATCTCGACCATAAATATCGTCCCATTCGATGCCTACACGTGTAAAGTGTCCACCTCCATATGATGGCTTGGCGAACCTGCTCAGCGTAGTAGTAAAATTTGTGGACGCCGCCGACGCGACCGCTGGCTAGAATCTTGACGTGCGGCAGATACGTCACGCAGAGCTCCATGAGGTCCGTGTGAAACGACGGCACGGTGTCGACGGCCCATTCCTCCCTGCCGCCATGGTCAGTTCCACAGTGATGTCATCGTTTTACCAAGCAGGGGGGGCACTTACGACGCACTGGCACTTTGCCACAAGTTTTCAAAGTCCTGGGGATCCATGGACGGAGAGGTCAAGAAGCCGGAAGGCACGTCGAGAGCAACCGCATCATCCTCAACAACTTCTTCGTCTGCTTGAAGTTCTTCCGCATCGTGGCCACCGGACGTCGAGAGAAATCCGAAGGCCGACGGCGCGGAATCTGCTGTCGACTCTATAAAGTTGAACCCCGACGACTGGGCTGGTTCGTCTTCCTTCTCTTCTTCAGAGTCCTCCTGGTACTCCACCGACGTGGCTTCAATTGCCGAAACGAACAGGCGTTTGCCTTCGTTACTGAGTACGCGTTCACGTTGTTGCTGTGCTGTCGCGGGTTGAATGGCCGCGACGGGCGGCACGTACGGGATGACAGGCGGCTCGTATGGGACTTCCTCCTCGACGGCCGCTCCAGGAGGGGCATACCCCCCACGTTCGCCTTCCGGTTCGTCGTCGTCGTCTTCGCTGTCAACAGAGTTTTTGTGGGGTCCGCTTTCCAGCCTGGCTTCGGCAATCACTTGCAGAATCTACTCGCCACAAGATGAAGCATGCTCTTCAAGATCAAGACGGCAGCGGGACTTACCTTGCGGGCGTTCAAGTTGTTTTGAGACACTTGAACAATCGTGCTCAGGTTGTCTTCAAATGCGTCCAGGCCAATGTGGTCCTCGAGCAACGCGAGCACGACGCGATGGGCATTGCTCGAGTTCACCCGCACCTTTTCCACGAGCAAGTATGCGACTTCCTGCATGCAACGTCGGACGCATCAAATGGCAGCGCCGCAAGAATTGATGTACCTCGACATGCTCGTCGTCCAGCTCCGACACTTGGATCGTAAATTCCTTGATGCCGTCGTCCGTCAGCCGGCGCGAGCAGATCGTTTGCACGAGTTTTACTGTCATGTCCGAGCATTTTTTCGGGGCTGGTGGCGACTTCTTGGTTGACGATCCATCCTTGGCAAAGAAGGACGGGAGCGACAGACGGCGCCACGTGCGCTTGGGCGCTTGACTCAACCCCTTTGGATCCACACCCTTGAGCACGTACGTACGACAGCTCTGGCCAAACGTGACGATATCGCCTTCATGCAACAGGGTCGGGTCGTGCGGTGGAATCTTGGACTTGCCAACAAACGTGCCATGCCGAGACATGAGGTCCACGAGCTAGACATGTCGACGATGACGACGAAAAACACAATGAACCTACGACGTACGTAGACACCACCCTTGGCACAATGCACAATCGCGGCATGCTTGCGGGAAATCGACGGGTTGGCCAAGACAAAGTCGCTGCCGTCTTGCTCCCGGCCAAATATGCTCATGAGCTTCTTGCCCAGTTCACACACACCGCACGTTTTCGACGCACGCATCACATCAAAGCGCACGGCAGAGCTCGCTTCGCTCGGGTAGACAATCCTACGAGACCATGGCATGCCATTGTCGACGGAAGACCACGGGAAGACGTACCAATCGGGAGGTTGAAACGTCATGGCGTACGTTGTGACAGCCCCTCCCGCTGCCCTCGTCGTAGCCGCACTGTCCCGCGAGAATTCGTCTTCGTTTGACGAGGGTTGCGACTGAAGGACCATGGTTGCCGCTGATGGCCTGCCCGTACGCGATTGTTTTGAAACCAATGTGGCAAAGAGACTGGGCCATTGGAAAAGCTCGTATTGCAGGTTCTGAGGTGCATTTTAATTCCGGTATTCAATTTCACGTAGTTCAGTCAAGATAATAAAATACATGGGACTGCGGCAAGATCGCGGCAGAGATGTTCACGCGAGGGGTGGCACACGATGGTGTACATAAGGCGTTGGGTTGTTGGGAATTAAGAGCGACGCGTTCTACTTGCAACAACATGCACGTGGGCAAGCGGTCGATCGGGATAGTGTGGATCGTCGGCGAGAATGCGTGATTACGAAGCAAAGTCCTTGGTCCACTTTCGGGCCGTGTCGTTGAACACATCACGGTTCCCATGGAGCAGCTTTGCAATCTCCGGCTCCAACGGATTGTCTGCGTCAGGTTGCTCCAGCATTTGCTTTAGGGCTGTCAAACAGTGCAGCACGTTCAATGTTGGGCCCCAGCTCTATCGAGGTAAGTCAACAGCACGATTAGGTTGTGGGTTCGCCATGAAAGCGATCGAGAATATTTACTTCGTTGATGATATCAGCGCAAATTTCACCGCTTTGAGACTTCACGTTCGGGTGATACACACGCGTCAAGAACTTTACCTAGCGAGAAACGTTGTGGATTGCTGCGTGGAGATCACTGTCCGGGGAAGGCATACCTTAGGAGCTTTGAAGGGGTACTCGGCAGGGAAGACGAGATCGATGCTGAACACCCCTCCGGCATACGGAGTGTTTTCCTGCAGACTTTGTGTGAGTAAGATGATCCCCAGCATGGAATGCCCGAAAACTTACTGGTCCAACCACCATGGCATTCCAATGCAAGAGATCGTCGTCGACTGGACCGACTGTGCACCACTCGGGAGAGTTTTTGTTGAACTCAGCAAGTTCCTACATATGGAAGTCCTTGTCACCATTCATTCTAAACCTCATCTTCATGACGGCTGCGCCATGTACCTTTGCCAATCGACGTGCCATGTCGGTGGGCTTGGTCGATCTGCTTCCTCTGGGAAATGGCTTATGGGGTTCGATTCGAGTTGGTCCGTTTCTCCGACGCCAGGAATCTCCGACAAACGATTGGCCAAAATAATCGGAATCAATGCATTTCATTGGTGGTTTGAATGAAATCCTGTGATTCGGAACTTTCCATTTTCCGACTCCAGGAATGTTCGAGATTGGTTGGTGCACGAAAGAGGTACGCGATTGGATTGGATAAAATACGTCCAATAGTCTGTGTCAATTGGCTGCAATTCATGATTATCCGAGACTCGTTTCACCGCTTGTGATTGGCTGGATTGAGTTGCACTCTTTGATTTGACTGGTTCAAAGATGATGGTCCTTCAGTTCTGATTGGCTCGATATCGCAATCGACATATCCTGCGCACACAGAAGCATGCACACAACAATCAGGCGGAGCGACAGGGCGGCAGCGATCTACGGCGGAGCGATGGACGCGGCGTGGTTAAATACAGAGTTCATTGAAGGGACGTGTCCTCATGTAGGAACGGTGGGGGTGGATGCTACTCTTCTATCGGTCTCTAACGTACTCTCCACCTACTTGAGGTGGGAAGGCTGGAGGTGGTGTCGATCTCTTTCTTGGGCTGTGACTGGTTCTGCCGCGTCGTTTGCGTCAACATCCGTGGCTTTCCAATTCTCACGATCGACTTCGGACGCGACCGACATGACAAAATCGCCGATCGTGAACTGGAGCACCCGATCGTCGCTGCTGACCTTTGGTTTTGTCGGGGCGACGTCGTAAAACAACACGTACGGTTGGTAGTGGTTCTACATATACACACCCTGTGTTTATTCACCGCCTCGAAATATCTCCACGCGACGAGAACGTACCTCGAGACAGGCGGCCTGCACGTCGCTCCAACGCGTCCCCACTCGCCGGACGACCGTGTCATTGAAGCTCAACCACTCCTGAGTCGCCGCCTTGTAGATGAACGCCATGTAGTGGTGGCCGAAGAAGCAATACATTGCCAGCAACGTTGCTTGGCCTTCATCGGGGCCTCCCAGTTGGCCATCCGCCACCATGTTCGGAAAAACTCTACCATATTGTCACATACGATCAGGCACGACCCAGCGTTTCTCTTGCTCCTCACCGGCCGAGCCGAACGGAACACTCCATCGCTGTCACGATCGACTTGAGTGTCGCCATGTTGGCCGAATTGTTTTTCCACGTCAGCCCGACCGTAAACACCCGTGGTACTTGCTTCAGCTGCAGACGGGACTCATACACTTTGTCGTGGCGGCAGGTGGTGCATTTTTTCGAGCTTCCAGCTGCTGCCCACACCGTTGCCAAGAGGTCGTCAAAGCGCTTCACCACAGCTTTGTTGGACACCTTGGACTTGTTCGCCGCGGATTCCTTGATCGCTTCCGTCGCCACGTGCAACATCATTGCATCGTACGGCGGGGTCGCCATCGACGTTTGGCACAGCGGGCACACGGCTTCTTCGCCGACCCATAGACCAAACACGCTATGGGCGAGGCAGTTGCATGGCGACGCCACCGACGACGACGCAAGGGCTTCGTGGAGGGACCGCAGGATCGTTTCATGTGCTTCGGCGGCGTCGTCCATCGAGCCAGCCTTGTACCGCTCTTCCGCGGCCGGAAGCGGCGAGGTGGAGATCGCGCTCAAGACCTTGCGCAACGAATCTGACGACACACCACCAGTCTTGTCACTTTCGCCATCCGCATCACTGGCGAGAAGGGCAAACACACTCGCCAGGGAGCAGTACACACACCGTCCATCGCCAGCACATTCGTGCGGCACCGCCGTAGTTTCGGTCCATCGCGATTGAAACGTCTATGCACGACGACCACGGCATTCAAGACAACAACAACGGCGTTTTCACTGAAAAGAGGATATCTGTCGTACCTCGAGGTGGAATAGCGCTTGCACGACGACGTTGAGAAAGCAATTGTTTTCCCCCGAGTCGTTGCGCAGCCCCTTTTCAGTCAGTGGGGGCAGCGTCAACGACAACGATTGCATCGGTTTCGCCTTCTTCTTCTTCTTCGTGCCTTTCCCACTGACGTCCGTCGGAGAAGCGACCGACGACTTGGACGTGGATCGTTGAATGGACACTGTAGAGGGCGGTTTGTCATCAAGAGGCGTCGTTTCAGCGAGAGCAGACGCCACGTTGGCATTTTCTTTGGACAAAGGTGCTGCAGAGACGACGGCGGGTACTTCAAAGGCAACAGAGGGCGCCGCATTGACATCAGCGTGAGCAAACGACGTCACAAGCTCCGACACGTCGTCAACGCAGCCTTGGAAAGAATCGGGAGGGGACGTGCGAGTTACAGGGGAGTTGTATGGTGGCTGGCCCAAGGCAGCAGGATCAGTTGGATATGGATGAGCGAAGTTATTGCGTGGTGTAGAGTGGTGATGCGGTTGAGGGTAGTTGTACATCTTAGCGGGGTGGGTTGAGGTTGCGTGGTGGTGCGGTGGAGGTGGCGGTGGCTGTTGTTGGGGGTGATACACTGCTGGTGCTGGAGGGGTGGCATACCTTTGTCCTGGTGCCATGAAGAATGAGAACGAAGACGCTGCCAAACCAAGGAGTTTACCTGGGTATTGGTAGTGCCCGTAAGAAGTGTCGTATGGATAGTAAGGAGCGCCGCCATACCCAGCTTGGGCCACACTTGGCCCTGGGTACACTTCCGATGGTTGCTGGTACTCGTAAGCGTCGTCCGAGCCCAGCGCAATGTGGTGGATGTTTGGATCGTAGCCATACCCAACATGATGCTGCGGAACCGGCGGCGGAGGGTAGTAGAAGGTTTGGTCCATCGGAGGGTACATAGTTCCTTGGTGAGTGTGACGAAGCATGTGAGGTGGATAGTAGAGGCCGTTCGCATCAGGGACTAATGCATGGACGAATGTGCAGTCATCGCCTTTGTGGCAATTCCCGTTCAACCAGTACTTGCATGTGCGAGGCTGGTGTTTCGAGTACGAAGAGTGATGATGCGAGCGACGGGAGGGACAGGATGGAGCAATGTGACCTTTGTCACCACAACGGTGGCACTTGACTTGTTCCATATTGTGCGACGACGAAGGAAGTGGAGCGGAGGATGGATGGCGGTGATGGCTCACCGTGTTCACATGGTTCGACTGCGGCGGTCGGTGATATGTGGCATCTTGAACTGGACGATGAAAAGAGTCGGAAGGAGATGGTTTGGGATACATAGAGGTTGGCGTGGGGACAGGATTGAGTGGAGTGGTGTTCGTTGGAGGAAGTGGAGGCAGCGGTGGATTGATAAGGTGTGGGTTGTAGTACCGTTTTCCACTACTGTTCCCATGCATGACATTAGGATTGTACGGTGGTTGGATGCTTGAATGCGATGACGACGGTGCTGCATAGTACGCACCACCACTGGCCGCGGGAGCATCGGCTTTCACCTTCGCAAGATATACGTCGCCGTGGTGTTGTTGGTGGTGGATATGACGTGGCGATGGGAGTTTATTCGACACTGCCGGATTGCCAGGAGGGTTGTACCCTCCATCCATCGTCGCTCCAGATGGTTGTGACTTAGCCGTGGAGAGTCCGCCAAGGTGGAATACATGGGTAGACGGCGGGTTCTTCGCGGCACGTCCGTCAAGAGTCTGCTCCATACTCCACTCCTCACGTCACCCGCGCAGACTCTGTGGCCACGCAATAAAATACAAATTTTATTGCCCAAATCCTCCATCACACGGTTGCCTTAGGAATATTTTATTCCGTGTGGCCAGATTCAACGGTTTATTTTTAATGTTCTTGTATGCTTCCGATTTAAAGCACGAAATCCCAATACACACTTCAAGTATAATATGATTTTTCGTTTTATTTGACCCCTGTCAACCAGCCCCCACATATTGAGTCCCCCGTTGAACCAATTGCGCACCCCATATCCAAAATATCACCGATATCAAGATGTCGCTTGCGAACCGTGTGGCATTGGTGACGGGTGCGGCCTCTGGCCTTGGACGCGCCACGGCGGAGCGCCTGGTGAAGGCTGGTGCTCAAGTCATTTTGTGCGACCTGCCAACCAGCGATGGGCAAAACGTGGCTCGTGCAATCGGGCCCAATGCCCACTTCAGCCCCACCGACGTCACTAACGAAGATCAAGTGACAGCCGCGTTGGACTTAGCCGAATCTGCCTTTGGCAAGAGCGTCGACATTGCCGTCAATTGTGCTGGTATTGCCGTTGCGGCTCGCACTGTGTCCAAGAAGGGCGCGCACCCTTTGTATCAATTTCAAAACGTTCTCAACGTCAACGTGTCGGGCACGTTCAACGTGATTCGTCTTGCTGCCGAGCGGTACCGACAAGCTCACATCTCTCGCTGATCACATTCCTAAATGTGCTTGCCTATTTGAACAGGATGTCCAAGTCGAAGGGTGATTCCACGGGCGAGCGCGGTGTAATCGTTAACACTGCCAGTATCGCTGCCTACGACGGTCAGATTGGCCAAGTTGCGTACGCTGCGTCCAAGGCCGCCATTGTCGGCATGACGCTGCCAATTGCGCGAGATCTGTCGAGCAGCGGTATTCGAATCAACACCATTGCTCCTGGTACAAGCCACGCACTACCTCCTCGACGGATTATAAACATGAAGTGTTGTAGGTCTCTTCCGCACGCCGCTTTTGGCAGGCTTGCCCGAACAAGTGCAGAATGAACTGGGCCAGACCGTGCCGTTCCCGAGCCGACTGGGCAAACCTGAAGAGTTTGCCCAGTTGGTGCAGAGCATCGTCGAGAACCGCATGTTGAACGGCGAAGTCATTCGTCTCGACGGCGCATTACGCATGCCGCCCAAGTAAACCATCCTTCCAAAAATGAACATGAATTGTTTTGCACACCGTGTTCACGCGTAAATATGAGTCTTGCCAACTTAAAACAGTCGATCGCGTGGCGCCAAATAAGGAATTTGCAGGACTCGACACGCACTTGCTTCGTCGTGTACCTGAGCGAGGAGGAGGTCCGCCCCGTACTTTGACAGCAACCATGTGTACCAGTCGTCAAAGGTGACAGGTGTGCTGTCGTCGACCTTTGCCATGGACGCTAGCAACGTGGACGCTACATACGATGCCGGCCCAGTAAAGTAGAGCATGGCAAAGCTCGCGGTTGGCTGGGTGTACACTTTCAGGTCCAGGAGGAGGCGGTGGGTTTTGAATCGAATGGGCGCGATCAACCGAGTTGCTGTCGCATGGTGGGTATCGCATTCGAGGACCTTGACGCGGGTTAAGAGGTCCACGATCGAGGAAACCGAGGCCGGGGTGACGGCCAACACGTCCAATACGGACACAAACATGCCCCCACGACGGAATGTACCCATCGGAATCACAGGGCACTTGAGCTTGGCCTGGAGACCGCGCAGTGCCACGTGCAATTCTTCTGCAGACGCGACGTGCCGAAAAAGAGCTTGGCTCGACTCACCATGGTCCGTTGTCGCGTCAAGATAATGCGGGATGAGGTCCCGCAACGATTCGCAATTGTGACTGCGGCCGTAAATTTGCATTGCACGGAGCTTATCCTTAATGTGAGGGAGGGACGTCTTGGCGGAGTTGCTCGCATCTGGCGGCGGGGCTGAGTAGAAGGTCGTCGTGTGCAAGATACTGGCAGAATGGGCGTGCCATTGCACTTGTAGATATTGCCAAACGGGCGTGCACACTCCAGGAAGAGTGTTTCCTCTGCTCAAGTAATGATCCAAATCGAACGACACTGTCGAGTCCGTCGAAGAGTTGAGATGGCGGTGCCAAAGCTCCATGAATACTCGGCGGGCCACCGTGCACGCGGTGCGAAGGTAAGAGGTCGATGAGGATGACGCTGTGTTGAGGAACAAGTCCAAAGCTTGAACATAGAACAAGAGTTGAGGGTGCCGAAGGTGCGGGTCGTGAAACCGGCATGGAGGGCCAACGAGCCAACATGGCATGATTTCGGCAAAGTGGTCAGTGTCGTAGTATTCGATTGGAACGGTACACGGAGGCGACTTGGGCTGAGGCTGGAGCAAGATGGTGGACGTCGAGGAGAATTGTGCTGGTGACGCCGATTTCTGCGTTGGCGGGGTCGATGTAAGTTCGTCAATTGGAGGGGTCGCTGGAACTGCAGGAAACGCAGCAAGGCTGTCGTTCATGCACAAGGTGGATGCGTCTCCGCCAAAGTCACGACTGTCGTTTTGGTGGAAAGAAATGGAGGGCACAATGGACGAGTCGTTGAATGACATGTCGACGGAAGAATCGGAGACCGTCTCCTCGTTGTGAGGAGTATGTGGTGTTTCAGAGAGAGAACGTGCTGTTGATATCGGAAGGGAGGGTGGTAGGTCATCGCTCATCCGTGTTTCAGGAACGATCTCCATCATGTCAGACGACTCCTTTTTTGGTGGCGATTCCGTACACGTCAATGCAGGACAAGTATCGCGAACGGACTCAGGGACAACATCACCGACGACTTGGGTCTGTGTGACAGGTAAGATGAGCGTTTGAGTTCGCGAGGAACATATATCCAGTGGCTCCGATCGGTATGGATCGTACGTGGAAACTTCGTGGTCATCGTCACCTCGCTGCGATTCCAAGTAAGAATGGATGGTGGCAAAGTGTGGGGTGGTTGCAATGAGCTCATCAAAAGCGTCGACAGCTTTTACCTTGGATCGCTTCGAAATGGCGTAGATCTTATCCAGGTCGCAGAAGAACTTGGACTGCCTAAATGGTGCCATGAGGCGTGTGTCCACGGCATTCTCGCTCTTCATGCACCCTCGACATCTAGTACTACTACGCATTCAATCCTCATGGTGCATAGTAGTACTAGTCGTTATGGATGTGTGGCGTCATTGTTTTCTTGGTTTCAGTATACAACGACCGCCGACAGACGTCTGGGGTTGCAAAGTATGGCGCGTCGCCTCCACGAACGAAACCACTTCGGAGTCGAGTACACATGCCATTGAGGCTGGCAACCCTAGTCGATAAACGGCGTCCCATTCAATGTGCAGGGGTCTACCCTTGGCCATCCCGATCGACTCGCAACCGTGCGACCATCATCCGCCAGGTTGCATCAACATTTCAGTCGCGATGGGCCAATCAGATGCGCGGAATTGCTAAAACAATCCCCCCGATCTACACTGGCCAATCCAAATCGAGCTTTTGCACATAAGGTCGTACGATTGGCTGATATCAGGAAGTCGGGCCTGATCGTGTTGTTCCAATCATAGGGATCTTTGCATGGCGGTCGGGTTCCAAACTCGATTCTTGCACCGAGCGAACGGCGATGGGCAACACTGAGTCTCAAGCAGCACCATCTCGCGGCAAAGCGCCGTCGTCTCGTGTCCGCACCCTCGTGGCGTACACGGCACGTCAGCCGAGGAAGCAACCTGCCTCGCCCTCGGCGGTAGTGGAACTCCCAAGCGTGTTCACACCACAGGGATTCCAGGTGCGCCGGGTCGAAAAGCTCTCGTTGGACGAAGATCGACACCCCATGCACTATAATCATCATTGCTCCCTCTCGCCAACATGCTCCGTGACGTCAAATGAATCCGCACCAGCCTCACCTGTGCAATCCGTTCGTGTCAGCGACTTTGAAAAGCTTAAGGTGATCGGAACAGGCTCGATGGGGCGAGTCCTCTTGGTGCGGAAAAAGAGAAGTCATCAACTCTTTGCGATGAAGGTGGTGTCGAAAGAAATGGCGAATGTCGACCAGATTTGGTCCGAGCGCGATGTCTTGGGTGGCACTGCGCACCCTGGACTCGTCCATCTCCACTGGGCATTCCAAAATCCTTCGAACCTCTTTCTCGTCATGGAGTACTGCCCAGGAGGCGAACTCTCAACGCATATTCAGAAAAGTTCTCGCGGATGCTTCACCGAAGCGACAGCGCGCTTCTACATCGCTCAACTGGTGTTGGCTTTGGAACATTTGCATCGGCATGGCATCGTGTATCGCGACCTCAAACCGGAGAACGTGCTCCTCACGGCGGATGGTCATGCAAAACTGGTGGACTTTGGCTTGGCCAAGTTTGGGATTCTCGAGCCCACTTATGGCACCAAGACAATGTGCGGCAGCTTCGAGTACCTCGCTCCAGAAGTTTGGGACGGCAAGGAGTACGGCACTGCTGTCGACTGGTGGTCGCTCGGCATTGTGTTGTTCGAAATGCTGACAGGCCTACCACCATGGTACAACTCCAATGCGTCGTTCACGTCCCCCGTCGCTTACGTCAAAGCGCGCTCGACTCCTCTCGATATCCCGAGTTACGTGTCCGTGGACGCAACCCACCTCATTCAGTCACTCTTGATCCCTCTTCCGAGCGCGCGACTCGGGTCCCAACGTGGCAGTGCGGAAGTGAAGGAGCATCCATTTTTCCACGAGTGCAACTGGTCGGCCATGGCACACGGCTCCATCCCGCCACCGATTTCTCCGTGCGAGTCGGAAGACACCATCCTGAATGCGACGAACTTCGACGACGAGTTCACGCGCATGTCGCTGGGACATCGCCTGAGCATGGAAGATTACAGCGATGCCGTCGACGGGTCGTGCGATGATGTGTTCGTCGGGTTCAATTTTGAAGCCCCCATGTCGACTGGCGCGTGCGCATGACGGCGCCCATCGTGATTGAAATGCAGTCCTATTTAATTCAGCTTTTTCCACGTTTGTGAAGTGATTGTTTTCGATGTACGTTCTCTCGGAATGTCTCAACATGTTCATGGTCAACCTCAACGATCTTAAAGACGTTCAGGATCGCCATGCCAACTGCATGCCAAAGCAATGTCCCCATGCCAGAAACACGAGCCCATGATCTCAGGTCCTCCATCTCCCAATACTATACTAGTAATGTATGAGCGCGCACTTCTATACAAACCATGCACACTTCTATCGAGAATAGATCAGTGTGTCAGCGAACTTAACTCGTGTGAATCATTGCTCACTCTCACTGCGCGTTGCAGCAACCGACGATGACCCC